CACACACACACACACACACACACACACACACACACACACACACACACACCACTCAGGCCTCTACCACAACACCTTGTGTGCACACAGGTGGTGTCTTCTACCCACACCTGTGACTTCTTTGCCGTTTCCTTGGTTACTGCCGCTACAGTCTTGTGGCGTCCGTTTTTGCTGAGGCCGTCAGAGATGGCCAAGCATCAACGCAGCACAGGTGGGGCTGGAGACCCAGAAACTGGACGGGTGGAGCTCCTCCTCAGCCGCTCGGCCCGGCCCGATCCCTCTGCAGCTGCACGCTGACCCGGGAACAAACGCTCCAGGCGGTGCAGGATTTCATTCGTGATGTTTCCCTGTGAAACTTTAAACTGTGGGTCTGTCTCCACCCTCCCGGCAGTTCTCTTTCACCTCTTTGTTTTTGTCGGCAGGAAGCGAGACACACGCCGTCGTCTGACGAGCAAAGTCAGCGTTGCTCGGCGTGACAGGATCAGCTCCTCCTCGCTGCCTCGCCTCTAATTACAGATTTGCATAATAATTTGATCTTCAGAGCTCAGAGTGGCACCGTGATGTTTAATGACATCACTTCCTCCAGTATCTATCACATCGCTGCTCTTTGTGCAGCAGCAGCGGCGCCTGACATGTTCCTATTAACCTGTCAGAATATCTAATCAGCCAGCGCTCCCGCTGGGAGTGAGCGCTTCAGGAAACGATGAAGCAATAGATGTTTCAGAAGCAGCCAGCTTCACGATTCGGCCTCAGGACGAGCGCGTTGTTCACTCGTGGGCAGAAAAACGGCCCTGAAGAGGCTGTGAACGTGGCGTGGTCGCTGTGCATCTGCAGGGACCTGAACTCCAATCACCACTCATTGCTCTGCAGAAGAGCACACTGTGCCAGCAAGAGCAGGAAACTGCAACCACACAGACTCACAGAGCTGGACAGCTTCAGTGCTTCTGATTGGATCTGGTCTCCAGAATATTTTCATCTCGTGGTTATTCATCGATAAAAGCGTCGAGGTGATTGATCTCATCTCTGTTCACCTTTTACTTTGTCATCATCTCGTTTTAATCAGAAAATTATGGATGTGTGAAATAAAACCTGCTGTCCTCACACGTCAGAGACCCTCAGAGCAGCCGACACATCTGCAGCAGCTGTGTGGAGAAACAAGCTCCACCCCCCTGCTGGCAAAGTGTACCTAGTAAAGTGTCCAGTTTGAACACACACACACACTGACCAGTGAGTCCTCTATGGTGTAGTTGAACATGTCCTTGGCATCTGCCTTCAGGTTCTGGACAAACTCCTGGTACTCGGGGTTCTGAGGCTCTCGGTACGTCAGGATCTTCACACTCTGGAAACCACACAGATTTATTATGAGTCTTTGTTTTAACGAATGAGGACAGGACACAGCAACACAAGGCGCATCACAGATCCATAATTAATCTTTTACATGTTTTTATAAGAAATCAGATAAAATATTTATGTCCAGTCAAACTCGGAGCCAGCGTGAGCTTCCTCTCACATGAAACAGGAAGTAAACACGTGCTGTGAGGAAGACGCCTGACATCAGAGCTTCAGCTGCACAAATCCACACACTGTACATAAAAGATGGATGACGGCACCATACAGGAGAAATCTGCTCTCTTTCTAGTCCCTGTCAGGACTCTTGCTGCAGCATTTTGGATCAGCTGAAGGTTTTTCAGGGAGTTTTTAGGACTTCCTGATAATAATGAATTACAGTCGTCCAGCCTGGAAGTAATAAATGCATGAACTAGTTTTTCAGCGTCACTCTGAGACAGGATATTTCTAACTTCATCGAGCTCGTCCAGGTTGAAGGGGCTCTGTGACTTCCTGCTCCATAGGGGGCGCTGTCGAGCTCAGCAGAAATGGTTCCACCTTTAGATGTTTCACAGGTTTTCTCCTGCAGTAAACGCTTTTTGTTAGCGATGTCACAGCACTGCGAGGCGCTTTACAGCGTCCTCCATTTTGGTTTGGGGCGTGAAGCGAGCAGCCTCCTGACAGCGTCGCCTTCACCCCGCTGCTCCTGTCACGGCCTTTTATGTTCCAAACACCAAAAGCGTCCAAGAAAAGGCCGTGGGTGGCAACGGGAGGTTGCTTTTAGAAAGCACTTCTGACTCCATTGTTTAAAATCATATGGCGTTTATTTCAAGGAAAATTATAAACAAAAGTCAACCAAATAATTTCTTACAACCTAAAATTAAACGAAAGTTACGTTAATTTGCTTTCACAAGTTCAAAAAGTGCTCAAAAAATCAGTTTTTAAACCCTCCCGTCGTCCCATCTGACATTTGGCAAACAAAAACCATCTTTACCACACCCCTCCAGGGTGCTCTTAATCCCCTGATTAATGGGAGGGTCCATGAGCTAATAAACCAATCACTTCCCAAAAACTTTTCCAATTAATTCATTACAAATTTACATAACAAAACTAGGTCAGCATATTCTTACAACTTTAAAGAAAAAACAAAAATGAATACAAATTGCGATTTATAAACATATAAACATTCAACAGAAATGGCCACAACAGCTCGTCCTGCACACCTGGAGCTCCTGCTGGGCTTCAACTGTGGAAACAGGCACCTGTCCTAAAACCTTAGCAGCACAATCAGCAAGCGTTAGCAGCATGCTAGTGTTTTATGGTCAGAATTAGCTTCACTGAGAGGAACTGAAGGAGGAAGAGTGCTTTTATCCAGGCTGGATTCATGGACACTAAAATCCAAAGTCTCTG